CTTTCTTTGCCCTATCTTCACATCTCCGACCCTATTAAAAATGGTGCCATTCTCAGCTTGTTTTCTGCAGGGGCTGGTAATGATTTAAGATAACTTATCAGTTCTCACTAGGTTATTTGTATTTTAATAAAAATCCTTCAAGGTTAGCTATTCGAGGTACTGAATCTCTAAGGTTAAATTTTAGGCAGTGGGGAAAATATTTCAGATGGAGATGAAGGGGTTGGGTGAGCAGGGCTCAGGTTGAGCAGGGCTTTCTCCCTTTGGTTTTGAGAAGGCTAGCCCCTATTTTGTAAAACTACTGTTTGGAATTCTCTGCTGTTTTTTTTTTAGATAGCCTCTTATTCTAAAAAAAAATAACATTGCTTTCTAGCCGCTTTAGCTCGCTTGAATAATGAGGAAGATAAACTTAGCTGTCTGACCTTGTAGGCCAGAGACTAGATATGCCCATACTCTGAATGCCACACCAGGTGTATTTTTTAATTGGATAGAAATGTGTTCTTTTCAAGGCCAGCAGTGAGATAACCATTAAGTGCACATAGGGCTGGCTCTTTAATAAAAAGGGAAGTTCTGCTTGTAGCCTTGCTTAGAATTTGAATTCATTTTCTCTAAGCCCACCGCAGTGAATAAAGTGTGACTCCAAACTCGCTGAGCATTGCTTGATTTATTCTAGTTCTCTGTAACAGTTCAGGTCATGGTATGGTCAGGTCTGGGCTAATGTAGAGCTGGCATTTCTGTGCTGGCCTGGGGAAAATGAAAGAGGCACCTGGTCAGGACATTGTTTGGCCTAGGGAGAAAGAAGATTCACTACTTCAGCAATTTATTTAAGTTTTTTTGGGGAGACAGTTTGAGGAGCAGGTTGCGTAGCTCATGTGAAGTGCAAGGAGCTGAGGAAAATCAGAGATAAGGAACCATGGCCTCTATTTTCAAGGTTTGTACCCTGTGTTGTAGGGAAATCAGACACATTTGTTAATAGATGGGCCGAACACAGACTATGAAGAGTCATCAGAGGTACAACTAGCAGCTATGAAAATGTGGAGTCCATTTCTCACTGGGATATCTAGAAAGGCTTCTCATGGAAAGTAGGGTGTTTATTTATTTATTCTTTTTGAGAGAGTGAGAGAGAGCGAGAGGAACATGAATGCGAGAAACATCAATCAGATGGTTCCTACATGTGCTCTAACCAAGGATCAGACCCACAACTGAGATATGTGCCCTGACCAGGAATTGGACCCACAACCTTTTGGTGCATGGGACAATGACCCAATCAAATGAGTGACTCAGCCAGGGTGAAAGTGGGATTTTAGTTGAGCATCAAAACAAATTACAATTTAAACATTTGTGCTTTTGAAAGAAATGATGCCAGGAAGGGCCCGTGTTTTGTCTGAAGGAGGGCGGTCTGTTCTGCTTGAGCAGAGGCTAGAAGATGAGTGCTGTGCTGTAGCCTGGAAAACCCAGCAGGGGCTTTCAACCCTGCAGGGGTTCGTATGTTTGGTTGAATATTTTACATTTTCCTCTGTTCATATTGGGAAGCCATTTAAGATGTAAGTGGGGAATAATAGTCTTAAGAAAATAACTGACCAGGATGTACTAAAGGTGGGGAAGGAGACACTCATTTATCAACAATTAGGGGGAGAGTGGCAGATTGCCTCTAATTCATTAGATATGCATTGTATCTGCAGAAGCAAAATAGGCAAGCATATCTTAACGCATAAATCCTCTTCCCATATATGAGAAGCATCATGGAGCAAATATTTCACAGCCAAGTTATCTTTAAAGTAACAAGAGCAAAAGCGATTTGGAATAAATGTTTCAGAACCATTTATTACCTTGCACAGACCCATGAGCAAATAGGATTGAACTAAAGCAATGACTATAGTGTGGCACATGGTTCTGCAGGGCTGCCATACTATTATGTATGCTTTTATCTTGGTACAGCGCTGGCTGTTGCCACTACTATTACTCAAAGACCGGGAGTGTCAACAAGATAATCGAAACAACAAAATGGGAGTCAAAAGTTTTTCTGCCTGTTTCTTGAAGTCTTAAGAAGATCATTTCCTTTGTATTCCCTATATTCAGAATATAAAAGCCTCCCAGGCATGTAATCTTCAGTAGGTCAAACATTTCCAAAGGCAGTGAAATTATTTTGCAGTTGCTTTTTGGTTTAAGGCAAGTGTTTTATGGGCTTCCAACCCTTCTCTCCTGACCCTATTTATGAAAAAATAAATAAAACAAAGTAAATGTCTTGTAACTACATTGTCCTGGTGTGAAAATCCCAGCACAGCATGGTGGAAAGGTTCTGAATTATGATCCAAGAGATCTGCGTCCTAGCCCTAGTTTCATGAATGCACACCTAATGGTTTTGTCACATTTTATATTTAAATGGAGCATTAGGGTTTTTCTATATGGTCTTGGTGCTATTCCTTTGGAATGGCCATGTTATTTTTGCTTATGGAATCTAGAAAATGAGGAGACACATGATGAGAGTGTGGTCAACAATTTTGGGTGGAAGCAATGTCTGTTACTTTGAGCCAGAACATTTGATGCCAGTGTGAGACTCCACAGAATTATTTCTACTGTGATGACTGACAAATTTTCAGGTAATGGCAGCTTTGTCAATGCGGACCCAAAATGAGCACAATGAGAAGCAGAACTCCTAGCCATGGGAATATTATCATGGAGGGATCAAGCTGACAGCACCTGAAACCACTGATCAATCTTAATATTAAAAATGGGACTTTATGTGCTTCTTGTTATGGTGTATTAAGAGGGTAATAGCATCTTCAATATTATAAAGTAATAATGAAACAATAAGAAATGGAATCTAAATATAATAATTTTTCTAGATTTAATTACATGTTTATAAAAAAGTACAGGTAATAGGGGAATATCTTAAATGACTTCATAGGAATATAATCAACCAATTCCAAACTGGACTATTCTATATGACAAACAACTTTATTTCTCCAACAAATAAATGGCAAAAAAAGAAGAGGGGGCTGTTTTAGACTAACAAATAGATCAATTAATTGCAACATGTGGACTTTGCTTGGATTTTGAAACCAATGAACCAGGTATAAAAAAGACATGCTAACACAGTTGGAGGATATTGAGTATGGCTTGGTTACTAAGTGCTATGGAGGAATTACAGCAAAGTTTGTTGGGTAAGATAATGATAATATTGCTGATTGTTAAAAAACAACAACAATCTTTTAGTCTGTTGAAAATAAATACTGCTACATTTAAAGAGAAATGATGTGATGTCTGAGACTTGCTTCAACCCCTCTCTCTCCCCTCCCCACCCAAAAAACAACCACACACCTAAAATGAAAATAGTGGACAAAAAGCTAAAAGCATGCTAGTGTGTTTGCATGTGTTTTTGTGTATACAGAACAAGAACGAGACTATTGACAATGTTGAAAATGGGTGATGGGTTTATGAAGCCGTGTTCCCACAATATAATTCTCCTTACTTTGTGTGTGAACATTTCTGTTACAAAAGGTTTTTAAAAATCTTCCTTATCCCTTCTTTCCTAGGGATTCTGCAAGAAACTGGAAGGCTAACCTCACCCAAGAACTCTCCTGAGGCTGCATCTGCCCTGCCTTCACCTCCTCGGCTGAGACTTTAAGACATTCTGCGGTGCCCTTTCGGATGTGGACCCACCTTAGCCCGCTGGGCATTTCTAATGTTAGCAGTGACTTCTGGGATTTCACCTCCTCCCTGTATACCAGTTCTCCCTGTGGATCCTGGCCACGGCCTCGCAATGAGGTGTCTCTAATTTTAGGAATCAGGAGGCAGTCTTGAACTTCAGCCCACAAGCTGAGGTGTGCAAGAAACTATGAGAAACATTTTTTTTTTTTTTTATAACTCCACTTAGTTTGTATTTTAAGCCTTGATCCTGCAGGTGTCCAGTTTGGATTTCCACCCATTTCTGTTTGGAAAGCATATAAGACCCTGGTCTTGAGGGTTGGGGGCAAGAGCATGGTCACTGTTTATGAGAGCCCACAGTTGTAGTTTTGATGCCCATCAGCTTGGTGGCCATGCCTCCTTTAGGTTTGGTGACCCCTGGGGTCACAGGGCCAGAAGGTATGGTGTGTAAAGGCTGATGCTGGAGATCCATGCATTGCCCTGTGCATTTTACCAAAGAGCAAAGTGAAGCTCAATGAGTTAAAGGCCTTGTTAGAAATATCTGGAGAAGTAAAATGCCTGTTTGAAAGGAGAATGTTGTCTAGGGATGTCATGGGTGGGACAGGTTGCCATGATTCTGCTTGTGTGCACAATGCAGCTGCCATCTCCTCTTGGAGTTTTTGACATATCTCCTCCAAAGTCACACTTGAGAAGCCTCTCTTTCATGATCCCTACACATTCTCTCTGACTGAATTAGCACTTCTCAACACTAGCAGGGTAAGAAGGGAACAGATAGTTTTAAAAGTCTTGCTTCTGTTCTATTTCTGCCCAAGCAGCCTCTCTTTCTATGGATCCTGGGACTTTAGGGACAAAGCAAAGATGGCTGTTCCTGCTTCCAGCCTTGCCGTGGCCCACCTCTGCTACCCACTTGAATGCAGAAGGGGAGGGGTGAAATAAGGAAAAAAAAAAAAAGAAACAGGAACAGATAAACATCTTGATATATCCTGCCACAATTGGAAATGCAAGAGTTGAATTCATAGGAGAGGTTCCATTGGGAAAAATAATTGTTCTTGACAATGGTGTCTGTGCAGTGACAGGGAATGGGCCTCTGTCCATGGAATGCTCGAGGTCATCATTGAGGTCGGAGAATTCTGCTGTGGGCTTGGCAACCTTTGAACCTGCGCTGTAGAGAGCACTGGGCAGTGCTGCAGGTTCTCTGAGGGGTCTGAGTTCTTCAGCCATTTAAGAGGCTCACCTCTTTTCATTTGTACTAAACCATTTCAATGGACTTCCCGAGAGCCAAGGAGGGCCAACCTGTAGGGAGAAGGAGGAGCTGGATGTTAGGCATCTTCTAGGGAGCTCTTCTTGCTAGTAGTATGAAACAGCGACAAAAGAGGAAACATTTGGAAAACGATGAGTCCCAGGAAACTGACGAGAAGGAAAGAGGTATGTGCTGAGTAACTTGTCGGAGGCACAAGGGTGGCGGCCAGCCTGAGCCCTCTCTGAGAACTGGGTCTGAAGACAACATGCACCTATAAAGTAGGGAGGGAGAGACTTGGCATCTCCTGGTGTTGCCATGTCCATCTTTAGGGTCCCCATGGCATGAGATGGCATGGAGAGGCCAGATGCCCTGGCAGATGGAAAGTCCACCCTGCTGGTCTGAGGGCCTGAGCACTCTCCTGGGGCTGTTCGTCCTGGAGCTACGTTGGATTCGGAGCCCAATGGGGTTCTGCTTGTATAGGCTCAGAGGCGCAGCTTTTCTCGGTCCCCCCATTCTCTTTGCTTGTAATGATCCTGGGGTCCCTGGGCCAAGGAGTGTGGTGTATAAAGGCTGATGCGGTGTCCTGTGCATTTTGCCAAAGAGCAAAGTGAAGCTCAATGAGTTAAAGTTCAATGAGTTTGTTGGAAATAGCTGGAGAAGTGAAATGCCTGTTTGAAAGGAGATTGTTATCTAGGGATAGCATCCTGTTGAAAGCAGGAGATTTTATTTCTCAGCAGGAAGTATTTACCTGTTGATCCATGGGAGTGAATCCACAGGGGTGAACTTCCCAGAGATCAAGGGAAGCGAAAGGCCTTCCAGAGACTAAGACCAAATGGATGAGGATGAGAAATGTCAGGGCCCTGCAGGAAGCCCTGAGAGCCTTGAATGTACTTCCCAAGCCATGTGGTGACTGCGTGCATTAAATGTAAAATAGTAGCTTGTCCTGAGAAGTGTGTGTGTGTGTGTGTGTGTGTGTGTGTGTGTGTGTGTGTGTGTGTGACATGTAGAAGGTGGGGCAGAATGGAGCCCACTCCAGAGATCCAGCTCCAGGGTTCTGTCCAAACTGGAGCCCAGCAGTCTCCAGGAGGCCCAGGGTCCTGAAGACCATTGAATGAGCCCTGGGAATGGAAGCCTGGCCAGTAGGCAGATGTTTAGATAGCAGGTGAGAGAGGAGGTGGAAGGCAATGGTTATCCCTGTCCTGTACACTTCAGGATATTTTTATCTTTGTGCATGTGTGGTGCACATGCACAAATACTTACTAATTGCTCATGGATAAAATGAGCCAGAGAGCTTATCCTATATACAGTCTGTATGGTAAGGTTCCTATAATCATGCCTGGTGACACTCAATACTGATGAAAGTATATTCAGAATTCTTGTGAAGGATATTCCATGGACAGTCACTCATACACATCCATGTACACTGGGATGGAGAAAAAAATTACACATCTCCACACACAACTTTTTATTAAAGAACACACAGAGTATATAAGTGTATACACACATCATGTCTATACTACATTCACATACAACTCCTGTGTATATCATCCTTTCTTACCAAACCATACTCTAGGGGCTGTATATATAGATTTGGATCCAGCTATCATGCAAACACAGGTAGCTTCAACTAGCTCTACTTCTGTAATAACTAGTCACATGTCATATACACCACCCACACAACACATTGTATGGTAATACCAGACTCACTTAGCACAAACAGCCAAAAAGCAGATTCACCAACATTTACCAGGTTTTTTTGACAGATAAAATACAGAATGCCCAGTTAAATTTGAATTTCAGATAGTCCACAAATAATTTTTTAGTATGAGTATGTTCCAAATATTAGAACCCAAACATTGCTTGGGAATATTTACACTAAAGAATTATTCATGGTTTATCTGAAATTCAAATTTAACTGGTGTCCTGTATTTTTGTTTTCTAAACCCTTATATTCTTACTACCACTGACACATCATATAGTTCTTGCATTTCTGTTTAGTGTCTATGTTTTCTTGTTCTAATGTTCAGCATTATTAAAGCCTAGAATAGTGGATTAGTGCCTGATACATAGTAATTGCTCATTGAACATTGCAAATGAATGAATGAATGAATGAATATATACCATAAATACAAACTATATGATATAATCAGGTTACATGCCACACTCAATCCTGAGTTGTGAACACAAACCATACACACAAACTCACCACAAACATAGATACAGACATTTCTACCCCATTTACCACACATCCCCACACTTACCAAAGGCTTAGCTGAGCCATGGTCAGTGATGTACAATGGTTAGAGCATTGGCCCTTGTGTTTGATTCCAGTCAAGGGCATATACCTGGGTTGCAGGTTCATCCCCAGCCCAGTTGGGGCAGGTGTGGGAGGCAACCAATCAATGTGTCTCTCTCTCCCTCCCTCCTTCCTTTCAACTCTCTTATAAAAAAAGAAAGAAAAAAAAAACAATGGAAAAATATCCTTGGGTGAGGATTAACAACAAAAAAGGCTTAGGTTAGTGGTTAGCAAACTCATTAGTCAACCGAGCCAAATATCAACAGTACAATGATTGAAATTTCTTTTGCCGAAACCGGTTTGGCTCAGTGGTAGAGCGTTGGTCTGCGGACTGAAAGGTCCCAGGTTAAATTCTGGTCAAGGGCATGTACATTGGTTGCGGGCATATCCCCGGTAAGGGATGTGCAAGAGACAACTGGTTGATGTTTCTCTCATCAACGTTTCTAGCTCTCTATTTCTCTCCTTTCTTCTCTGTAAAAAATCAATAAAATATATTTTTTAAAAAATTTTCTTTTGAGAGCTGAAAACCAACTTCTGCACATGGACCACGAAGTTTCAATCGTACTGTACATGCGTGCCCACACATGGTATTTTGTGAAAGAGCTGCACTCAAGGGGCCAAGGATCCACATGTGGCTCGAGAACCACAGTTTGCCGACCACTGGCTTAGGTGATACACATCACTCTCACACTTCTGACATATTCACAGTCACCACTCAGACCTACATCCTAACAAGATACTAACAAAGTAATTGTTGTTTATAACTAAATACTGAAATAACCACTGAGAATCAGAGTCTAAGCCATATCTATTCACTGCACCTGACAAAAGCCAGCCACTCAGTAAATATTTTTGGACAGATTAATGATTCAGAAACATTTCTCTGAGACTTTTGTACCTTCCTCAGGAATCTCGAAGTCACAAAATGATGTCCTTCAGCTTGGATCAACCGAGGTGGCCAAAGGCTATGACCCAGGGGTAGGGGAGATCTCCTCTGCCTCTGACTACTTAACCTGTGTTTCTTCTCCACTCAAGCTTATTCGTAGCGGTAAGAGTGTGGGCCTCCTTGGGTGCATGGCAGGAGGCACACAGAACCAAGCATGAACCTCAGAGGAGACACAGGGCAATCAGAGATGATCAGGGCTCTGTGAAGGAGCCTGGGGAGGATGGCAGAATGGTTAGAAGATCTTGGATATGAGTTCACTATAGGAGAGTGTGAGCCCTGGTGCAACCACAGGGGGCAAGTTTTGGAGTAAGGGCCAGAAAGGTGTGGGCTTGAGGTATAGGCAGAGGGACCAGATGAAGCACCTTCAGAGGAACATGTAAGCTTTGCCTTTACTTCCAGCGAAGGACAGAGTTCCTCAGCCCAAGCCCTCACAGCTCACATTTACAACCACACTCCATGATATCCATTCTTAGCACACACACACAAAACCCAATTACATGACCCACAATGCCATTCTCCCACATTCCACAAATATCACAGCAATGATAACACAAACTCACATTGGTGTCATAGCACACACTCCACCAACATTCCCCAGACCACAGCCTTCACCATCATATTCCACACCTCTGTATACAGGCGCCTCTCCAGAATCCCTACACACACAAATCAAAAGCCCACAGATGACACCAGATACACTACCCCATAATATGAACAACACAGTCATCACACAACTACATCACAACATAGTCCCTCTCTCCTGTACCCTGCATATTCATGCTTGATTCCTCAGTTTCCGCATGCCCCATACATGTTCTTATGTTTCTAATTTCCTTTCCCAGGAATCCGGAGATTACATCAAGAGAGTGCCCAGCTTAGATCAACCCTAACCCAGATTAAGGGACAAGAGGAGGCTGTTCCCATCTTACCACATGTCTCCTTATCATCCCCTTCATCCTATAAGACCTGTGTGATCTCGCAGTATATAAACAAAGAGGAAAGGGGCATGAAAATATACTACATGCAAGTACAAGTGAAAAAGGGCGTGGCTATCTCCTGGGAAACAGAGGACACCTCAGAGTCACTAAAAAAGAAGCCGAGGATGGAAGAAGTGAAACTTCCTGAGGACGTGCGGGTAGATACGCCCCCCTCTGACGTGTCCACCAGAAAACTCCTATCTGAGCCCAGCAGGGAGGTGAAAGAGCATGAAGAACGAGCAGAGACAGACAGCCCACTAGGATTGCCCACAACTGAGGAGAGACCCAGGGCCAAGACACCTGACTGGTTGGTTACTATGGAGACTGGCTTTAGGTGCATGGCCTGCTGCCGGGTCTTCCCCACCTTGGAGATCCTTAAGGAGCATGTGCAGTTTGGGATCAGGGAGGGCTTCAGCTGTCACGTCTTTCATCTCACCATGGCTCAGCTGAGAAGCAATGTGGAATCAGAGAGCATCCGGGAAAAGGAGGAGGAGGAGGTGAAGAAGGATAGAAAGGAAGAGAAGCAAGGAGAAAAACAGAACGAGGAGGAGCAGCCCACAGTGTAAGACCTTGGCTTGAGGAGATCCTGGAACCCATGTCCAGGTTGTATGTTTCATTCTCCAAAGGATAGAAAGTGAGCAGGGGCTGGGTCTGCTGAGGGAGCTGTGCCTTCTCCAAGCCAGTACTCTCTCCAATCCAGGCCTCTGCCTCAATGAGAGAGTTGGGGGCTATATCACAGCAGGGAACAACTGAAAGGGGTTGGGTGGTAATGCATCTTGCCCAGGCATTTAATAAGTCCTGACTAAGTGAGAATTTATCCCGAGTGTTTCAGCTGCTGCAGCAAGTTCCGAGAATTTCCAAGGGCTAACAGAGCACCTTTCTTCTTTAAGTGTCTTCCTCTGTGTTGGTTTCCTCACAGCAACTGAGACTCCTGGGCCAGAAGATCCTGGAAGATGGTGTGGCCTCCTCTTGGGAGAGGTAAGGCCTGAGGCTGGCACAGTCTTGTGAGCGTATGTCATGAAGGCCCAGAGGAACCTAAGGGAAGGGGCTGCAAGGCTGCACTGAGTTACCTGGTGCCTCTGGAGCTGCACCAAGTGTAGTGGCATACCCAACGCTTCCAGGGAATGTATCCCCTTTATTTATTGAGAAAGTAGAGAATTTTTACAGGAGTTCTCTCAGTCTCCATGTTTGACCTCACTCTAAGAGGAAATACCACCAAGTGTCCCTCCAGGGCCAGGAGTGGTCTGAAGAAAGGACAGGGGCTCAGCAGGATCAGAAGTTTCAGGACTGAGAGTCTTTGGCCTGAGCTGAGATCTCACTGTGGCCTTATGGACAGAGTTCCTTGGGAAAAAGTGGAATGTGTAGACAGAAATACATGCAAATGAGGTCAGTAATAAGTGATCTGGAAATATTCTAGAACCTTTATTTTGTTATAGTTGATCTGGAAACAAACTCATTGTGGTATGTGTGGCCTCTGAGCTTTAAGACAAAGTGAAGGGTAATTGACTAATAGAGTCCATATCGCTTCTTGTCTTTTCCTCTTCTGCCTCTTTTGTTTTCTCACTTCCAGGGAGAAGATAGGACCCTGGAGTTAGTAGCAGACAGAATGCCAGTGGTTTGAAGGAAGATGAAGGGACCAGTACTCAATCTAACACATAAACATCATATGTAATAAAGGCTGTTTTGCAAAACCTTCCTGGATAAATTTTTTAAATTAAAAAAAATTGTTTTAATATTTAAAATGTTTATTTTTTTAATTTACAGTTTAAATTCAATATTATTTTGTATTAGTTTTAGGTGTACAGCATAGTGATTAGACAATCATATACTTTACAAAGTGTTCCCCCCATATTCCTAGTACCCATTGGCACTATACCTAGTGGATATATTCTTTATTTAGATTAATGTAACCATTTTATTTATTCGTCATCTATCTATTATCTATCATCCACCATCTACATCTGTCTCTCTAGTGGTTTGTGAATGAGGTTTTCCATAAACACCAAAGATATCCACCATCCTTTTCCAGAAGGAACAGTATCCAGTCTCCTGGGATTGATGAGGCTTCTGTGGGACTGTTTTTCAAGGCTGGTAAACAGTCGCACTTCACATGGACCATGACAGCTACACTGGGTTCAGATGATGCATTTGGAAAGTGGCAGGAGCTGTGGAAGCCAGGTCTAATGGGTCTTGATTTAAAACACTGGGAAGGGGACCTTCAGAGGACTGGAAGGTGGTTTGCATGCCTCCCTAGGCATGGCCTGGACAAAGGACTGACTGTTAGATGTGGCTTCACAAGGGAACCCCAAGACAAAGGAGGAATTTCTCAGTCTTGAAGCTATCCATGGAACAGGGTCCTCCTGAGATGGTGACACTCCGTTACAAAGTTAAAAAAAAAAAAAAGGGCCATCTGACCACAATCTGGAATTTGGGGAGGATATTGTTGTGTTATGAGTTTGCTCTAATATTTCAAATTGTAACATTAATATTATAACTTCTAAATAAATTCTCATTCTAGCCTCTCAGGTTTTTGATTTTTGTCACCTCTGAACTTCATCTTTACACCACTTCTACCACCCACTGGAGCTCAAGCCACCTAGGAGGCACCGAAGACATTTTGATGCGGGAGGCTCTCCAAAGTCTAAAAGGTGAGGAGGAATAATGTGTATTCCTAATCTGAATAGAAAGCCAAAGCCAGGCCTTGGAAAGATTAATGGAATTAGAAGGAAATAATTGGAAGTTCAGAGTTTTTCCCAGTTTAAGCAGAATAAAGTTTAATTCCACAGTCCCATGGATATTTTTTTTTTCAGGATGTGTAGGGGATCTTCTATAGGACTTTATTTCTTTTTAGTTTATTTAAAAAAATTCTTTATTGTTGTGTTACATGAGTCTCCTCCCCACCCCCTTGACTTCTCCCAGCCTGCCCCCACCCCCAGAACAGTCCCTCACCCCCCTATTGTCTGTGACCATTGGTTATGCTAATATGCATGCATACAAGTCCTTTGGTTGATCTCTTATTCCACCTCTCCCCTCCAGTACACCCTCCCACCTTCCTCTGAGGTTTAATGATCTGTTTGATGCTTCTCTGTCTCTAGATCTATTTTTGTTCATCAATTTATGTTGTGCATTATATTCCATAAATGAGTGAGATCATGTAATACTTATCTTTCTCCAGCTGGCTTATTTTGCTTAGTACAGTGGTCGGCAAACTCATTAGTCAACAGAGCCAAATATCAACAGTACAACGATTGAAATTTCTTTTGAGAGCCAAATTTCTTAAACTATATAGGTAGGTACATTGTTATTAACTTAGGGTACTTCTAAGCTGGCCTTTACTAAAAACTCAAGGGGCCAAAGAGCTGCATGTGGCTTGTAAGCCGCAGTTTGCTGACCATTGGCTTAGCATAATGCTCTCTAGATCCATCCATACTTTTGCAAATGGTAAGGGTTCTTTCTTTTTTATAGTAGCATAGTATTTAATTGTGTACATATACCACAGTTTTCTAATCTACTCATCTGCTGATGGGCACTTAGGCTGTTTCCAATTCTTAGCTGTGGTAAATTGTGCTGCTATGAACATAGGGATGCATATGTCCTTTCTGACTGGTGTTTTTGATTTCTTGGGATACATTCCTAGAAGTGGGATTATTGAGTCAAATAGGAGTTCCATTTTTAATTTTTTGAGAAAACTCCATACTGTTTTGGGGGCTTTATTGAATGAACAATGGTTCCAACGATCCAGTGTTGTCATTATTATTTTTGGCAATAATAATAAACCAGCTTCCTAACTGGTTTCATGCTCCCCAGCCTCTTCCTCAGGGATATAATCTATATACACAAATCTCCTGCCTCAAGATGCCTAGTCATTCCTATAACTATCATTCCAGGAGTTCAGAATTTGAGGCCTGTGCTAGCTTACCATTTCATACTCACTCTTTGACCAGCTCTGAATACTCTACAATCTTCACCTTTTTCCTTTTCACCCGCTGTTGAGTCTACCAAAAATATCTCTTTCCCCGTCTTTTCCTAAGTCTTCACCATATCCTCTCCTTTCCTTGGAATTTTATTTGACTTTTCTCTTTCACTGACTACTTCAAATACCTAGGAGTTATTCCCCATAAATTGGTAACATATTGGTTATAAAATGAGGATTCTCACAGTGGATCCTGCTGGAATAGAGACTTCCCTGTAAGTGTAAAGCATGGAGGGTGTTACCTGAGGACCTATAGATAAGATGCATAGTGTTGCAGGAAGAATTGAATTGACCATGAAGTGGGAATCAAGGCCTTTGGCTCTAAAGCTTTTCTAAGATGACTTACATGTTTTTCACACCAGATCATCTCAATGGGGCCACCGACAAAACCAATTTTCAATAAAACTTTGAATCTCTGCTTAGAATGAGGCATTTCAGAGCAGTTTGAAGCCTTATTTATGCTCATCTTTAAACTGTTGGTTAGGATTCTAATAAAGTAGATGTAACTCTACTCCCCACCCTGAAATCAGCCTAAATGAACTATTATAGATCAGAAAATGAAGATAGATGGTGACTTCTCACAAATGGGGACTGGCCACAACCCTTGCAGCTGTGACCCTCCTGACTTATACTCACTCATTTTTGGAGTCTGCAAGTGTCTGAGTTTGGGAGTGGAAACTGGAGTCAGTGATCAAATGCAGGCTGGATCGTCTCTAGATACTGACTCTAATCCTGGGCCTAATGTCGCTAAAGCACACTGGCCACACTGATGTAACTTATCCCTGGCCACACGGATCTCTCTCCCTCAATACATGTCTCCACCAATCCACCTCTTTCTTACCTCCCAGTTCAAGGAATAGTTTTTACAACCGAGCTGAGATTTATTATTTGTTCATATAAATTTCTCTTGCTGTGGGCTTCTGCTTTTAACATTTCAAAGCCAAATTTTTTTTCTTTTTTCTCTTTTATTTGAGCTGGATATTTCCCTTCCTAATGCAATGAATTTAGAGTACCAAGCTAGCAAGAAGGGGGGGGGGTAGCCTAGGAGCAAAGAGAAATAATAAAAAATATGCCAGTTCATTTTTAATATTATTATACAGCTATACATTTTTGAAATTTAGGAGTAATACAGAAATGTTCTCTTCATTAAAAACTCAATATTGAAGTAAAATAAAAGTCCCTTTTCATAATACTCCAACCCCATTCCCTGTTTCCTTCTGCAGTGAGATTTATTATTAGCTGTTTGATTTTAAGACCTTTGGTCCACGCATTTCCATACATAGTGTTTCATTTATGATAGATATCTAGTTTTGTAGAGATTTTTGGTTCATAATTTATAAGATATCATATCTATTCTAATATTAACATTTTTATTGGAGCTCCTTTAATGTCTCCAATATAGATTATTAAATACAGATATTCAATACCAATCTTTAATATATATCCATTTTTTTGGTTAAGTATAATTTACCTATTCTTGCTGAAATCAGTTTGGCTCAGTGGATAAAGTGTTGGCCTGCAGACTGAAAGGTCCCGGGTTCGATTCCGGTCAAGGGCATGTATCTTGGTTGTGGGCACATCCCCGGTAGGGGG